GAGAAAACTCTGCCTCTTGCAGTTTTAAACACATCCTCCCCCCCAAAAAAAGTCAGACCTCAGACAATCAACAGGTAAGCAAGCTCAGAAATGAGATTACTACAACAGGGAGGAATCACATGAAAAACAGAAGGTAGGACATTAAATGGCTATGGGCTGAAAAAGGGAGTGAAAAAGAGTAAGAAGTCAAAACTGTGGCACAGCGGGCCATAAGGCAACCCAGATAACAAGAAAACCACTGGGCTTCTACAGCTACAACGTACAGGAGAAGAAAATGAAAAAAATGTCAATACTCATTTTGGGAATTTGTTAAGTCACATAAATACCTAAAAAGTGCAGCCATTTAAACAAAATTCCTTATTTATAGTAGCTGGGAGGCAGCATCAAGCTTTATTTTGGGTCCTAAGCTACTGCCATAAAGGGTTTATACTTACAATGCATAAAAAGTGATCAGGATAGACTAGCAAGCTGCTCGGATAAGCACAAAACAAGCAACCTGCCAGAGCTGGAAGAACCAACGTTTTCACGATTTAGTTTGTTTTTGAAAGAAAAGGAAGAGGCAGGCAGTCAACAGCCTGGGGTAACCCACCAGCAGGGAGCAAGAGCAGCACAAAGAACCCGTGCCATAAGCTCATCTCCTGGTATACTTTACATTGCTAAAACATTTGCCAAACATCCATAAATGAAGAGAGGATAAACAACTATCATACAAGCGTTGAGCCACAAGCAGGACTTCTTTCTCTATGTCTTACTTCTTAAAATCAGGCTTTTCAATCAGGATTGGTGTGGTCCCCAACAAATTCTAGATGTCAGTGCATTAATCCATTGACCTGCAAACTAACATTTAATATAATTCAGTTCCTCTGAATGCTCTAACTGTGGAGTATTTCACAGGTTCACAATATAATTAGTTCTTGCATTTTTTATTTGCTGCCTTGATTCTTAAGATGCTCATTTTAAGATTTTTAGTGTAAAAAAGATTTAAGATTTTTAGTGTAAAAAAGAGCTGAGCTCTATTTGACCAATTCTGAAGGATAGCTGGGTATCAGAACTCATAGACACTTCCAAAAATACACTTCTGAAAGTTCAAGAATTTTTCAAGAAGATCACTGTACAGGTGAACAGCGTACTCCGTACATGCTCACTGAAAACGTAACACTGGCAGATATGCAAGCACAGCTATCGTATACTCCAAGGCTACATAATGTATACTGTAATTCCAAAACGGTGATTACCTGATGGCTACTATGCAGCAAATTCTTGTTACCAGGCATGCTACCGAAATGGTACAATGCATGACTTACCTTCGCAGTAGCCAAGACGCTCTGCTTTCTGCTTCCCAATTTTTAACATTTCTTTGTTAATGTCACACACCACCACTTGGGAATCCCCTAGTGACTTAAACTGGTCTTCCTGGTAACTCTTGGAAATTTCCTGCCAAGATAAATTCTGATGGTTCTTCAGCTTCCGCTGGAGCTGGCGTTCTCGTGCAGAGCGAATATAATTAATAAATCGAAAGGCAATGTCACCTGCATTTGTTTTAAAAGAAAGATAAATGGTTTGGAATGTTTTCTGATTCCAGGAAATTGGAACATAAGGCTTAGAACATCAAACTGAGTTAATTTTTATTTATAAATTTATAAAAATAAAAAACACACAGTACAAGGAAACAGAGTGAGTGTATGTGTGTGTCTCAATATATAAAGGGAACGTATTAAAAGCAGAGTCTATGACTTCCTTCAAATGGAATCATGGTATCATGGCAGTAGTATAATACTTCCAGAGCCTTGGAGCAAAATATTTCAAACCACAAAGAAGTCAGTTTTCGATTCCTCTCTGTGAAAATCAAGTAGATGCTTCACCAGTTTTAAAGACAAGACAACTGGGGCAGGGGGGAAGCTAGGCAACTTGAGCCTGAGCAGACTCAAACAGTACAAAAACAATGTGACACTATCGTGTGGAACTCACCAAAATTACTTACCTGTTCCTCCAGCAACATCAAGAAGCAGTGTTCCTGGGGAGGGGTTCATTTTATGCACGAAGATATCCTTCCACACTCGATGAATCCCTAGAGTCATTGAGTCATTCATTACATCGTATTTCTTGGCCACGCTTTCAAAGACCTGGTAAACTGCAGAGAAAAGACACAACAATGAGATGCAAGTTACTTGAAAACGCTCTTGCAGAAGTAAAATGCATCCTTCACTGCCTGGCAGAGGTCTGTCACCAAGTGGAACTCACAAACTCCTTGCAGAAAATACGCCCAAACCCGAAGGAGCCTGTTGCCTGACAGACACCTTTCCGGATGAACACAGCCTCTTCCGTAATGCCCCGGGCCAAGAATGGAGCTGCCCAAACACGGATGCTGCTCACCGAGGCTCCCGGGAACGTGGCTACGAGCCCCCCGCAGCTGCCCTGGTCCAACGGGAGCCCCGCTCGGTCCCAGCCCGCCCTCGCTGCACGGAACCCGCTCCCTTTTCTCTCACTTTTCTGCCTCCGCTCCTCC